GGGGGAAAGGGTTTTTGAAAAATTAAGGGGTTTTTCCCCCCCCGCCCCCCCCCCCGGCCAAAAAAAGCCCCCCCCCCCCCCCCCCCCCAACCCTGGGAAGAAACGATTGCCCATCGGTGATCGGTCCTGTAGGAACAATGCTCCGTCCTCTCGAGGATGCGTGGTCAATGGTCTAACCGCTAAGGCATGCAAACCACAAGAGTACCCCCCCCCCCCCCTCCTGCGGCGCCCCCCGCCCGAAACTCGCCTACAGTCAACGGTGCTAGTGATCAACACCGGGGGCACGCTCGGGATGAGGAAGGAAGACAAGTCGGGCGGCCTGGCTCCCGTGCCGGGCTACTTCACCTCGCAGATGCTCACCATGGAGGAGCTGGTGATCGCGGACGACATGCCGTTTTTCGACATCGTGGAGTACGGTACGTACGGTATCCCCCGTCGATCGACGTCGCCATATACATACATTGCTCCGTCTTTCTACTGCGGCATGACACGCGTGGACAATGTATCTAACTAGCTACGTTTTTGTTTTTTCGCTGTACGGTTTCGACGCATGAGAAGAGCAGATCCTTTGCTGGACAGCTCTTGCTTCGAGCCGTCCGACTGGGCCCGGATCGCCATAGACATCGGCCGCGCCTACCACTGCTACGACGGTTTCGTGGTTTGCATGGGAACAGACACGATGGCCTACGCGGCAAGCGCACTAAGCTTCATGCTGGAGAACCTCGGGAAGACGGTAAGACCGTGGGAGATGGGGCGGGGTCGGGGTCGTGGTTTGCAGGCGTTTTGTAACGCCGGGGATGCGCCGATTGGTTGATTTCCTCGCGTGTGGTAATTTCGCGCAAATGGCGAGTTTAGTTCGACATGTCGAAGTCTTTCACGTCTAGAGTCAGGAAGAAAGTTCGGTACTCTCGCCCTGTTGCTAGTGCCGCCCGCACGGCTCAGTTCATGTGGTGTGCTGGGGGGAGAGAAAGCCCCCTCGTGAAGCAAGCCGGGTGGGTGTGATCATGTTGCCCTCGACATCGGTTTTCTCCCTCCAACGGCTAAGCTGCGCGTGCTCCTCGATCTATTTTTTTTTGTCTGGGGAAGCATAGCATGTCTTTAGTGTTGGCTGTCGTTGCTCGTTTTCCACAATCATTACTGAGAAAGGTTAATGAGAAAGGGGTGGCGAGTGTGTGCAACGGGCCGAGCAAACGAGGCGCCGGGTGTGGGTTGGGCCGTGTGGTCGGCCTGCCTGCTTCTCTCCCCCGAGAGCACAATTTTCGTCTTCTGTGGCAGCACACTTTGCGCGTGGATGGCATTCTGTTCCCTCGCGGACCGTGTCACCGTTCCCCACCGCTGAGGTGTGAAATAGTGTCGGGCTGGATGGGGGGGAAGTATTTCCTTTCGGTGTGGTTGATGTTTCATGTGCACTCTGAATGTACCTTCCTGGACCTTCCCCTTTCGACTTCGGTCACGACGTTTGACGTCGTTTGACGTACCGTATCACGCCTCTGTCTGTCTGTTTGTCTCGCTGTCTGTCTGTCTGTCTGTCTGTCTGTCTGTCTGTCTGTCTGTCTGTCTGTCTGTCTGTCTGTCTGTCTGTCCGTCTGTCCGTCTGTCTGTCTGTCTGTCTGTCTGCACCCGAATTTCTCTCTGTGTATGTCTCATGGCTCCGTTGACGTCTCGCTTCCGCACGCGATCGGTCTTCCACACATCGTCGGCGAACCTATCTGGGGGTGGATCAAGGTGGTTTTTACGGGCAGTCAGGTGCGGCTGGCTGGGTTTTAGAAGGTGGTTGCGTAAGCGTCGGTACTTTCAGGCAAGAAGAAAAAGGTAGCTCTAACGAAACCGATCTGTGGACGGTTGAGCAAGCCGAGAATCTGTGTGACCATGTATGGGGTCTCTTGAGTTGAGAGAGGCGTTGACGCAGGGAAGGTATATCCATTTACAACAGGGGTGGTGGGAACTGATGCCAATGTGTGGGATGACAGAGATCCAGAAAAATTAGCTTCTATCTTCTCATGCTACGCTACGAAGCGTGTCGGAACGGCGGTGTGATTACAGTAACAACAACAACAACAACAACAACAACAACAGAAACTGACACGAAAAACCATTGGTCAAACGGTTGGCCCTGTCGATGCTGGTCAAATAGACGACACAGACACATACATGAACATTAGACAAATTTGAGGAGAGATGGGGAGAGAGAGACAGACCGACAGAGACAGAGAGAGAGAGAGAGAGAGGGAGTGAGAGAGAGAGAGAGAGAGAGAGAGAGAACTGGCACCAACAACACGATTCCATTGCTTCGGTAACACAGATTCCGCTAGCGGAGGTATACAACGATGCGCGTCGCAACGTGGTAGTGGCCATGATGATCGCGGGCAGCCAGAAGATACCGGAGGTGTGCCTCTTCTTTTCCAACAAGCTCTTGCGAGCGAACAGGGCGGTGAAGGTCGACAGGTGACTTTACTTGGTGCCGTTATTATTGTTGCTGCTACTGCTAGAGCTACTGCCGCTTGCTGTTGTTGTCTTTAAGGTCATCCTCCCCCTAAAGTTAGCTCGGCGACCAAGATGGGCCCCAAACCATGTGTCTTGTCAACCCGGAGTATTGCAGCTTTTGCCTCCGGTGGTTGTTCACACCTCTTGTCTTTGTGTTTCGAAAACTACACACGCGTGGGATCATGGGGTGGCCTTTTCTACACTGTAGACGAGGACTCCGATTTCTCTCTATCTCTATCTCTCTCGTTTTTTTATTTTTCGATCACGGCCTTTTTGTGTTTACTACTCCAAGACCTACCCGAGATGCTCGGGGTTCTCCCGACATGCAGGCTGTGGCTTTCCGTCGCGGCAAGCGATCCTTTGAAGCATTCTGCGATCAGCCACACCGATCCCTACCGTACTCGTAGTACTGTTTCCTTCACCCATTCTTGTCGGTGAGCCGCTCAAGCCCCTCGATCGCCAAGCTGTAGAAGCAGCAACACGGTAGGTAAGAAATATACCCGTTCTGGCCACTGGTACCTGTACTCGGGTTTGTACTCCACCTGCAAACCAGACGACCAGACGACCAGACGCATCAGACGGACGAGTGGGACCTCGGAAATATCTGTGCCCTATCATCCCCAAACTCCCGTCTCCACCGTCCCCCATGCCGTTGTGTTGCGAGTCGCCTCTTCTTGCCTTGGCATTGCCACCAACAGAAGATTGGTAGTTTCACCACGACAAACACTAGCACCAACACCGACGGCCGTAGCGGCAAAACAGCAACTAAACTCCTCCTTCTCCTCCTCCTCCTCCACCTCCACCACCGCCACCCGTTGCTACACCATCCATTGCAGTAAACAATACCACCAGCTCGCCAAAACGAGCAATGACTCGGACGTTCCAACCTTCCCACTAAAAGACCCACACAGGGGAGGGTAGACTCTCTCTCTCTCTCTGCTTTCCACTCAAGGCGTCCATCCATCCAACAAACCGTTCTCTGCCACATGTATATTCTCAATTCACCCATCAACCGCCGTGTTTCGCTTTGGCATCCCCCCCCGGTTGAAGTGGGAGAAAGGGACAGAAAGCTGAACAGAAGCCACTGC